AAAAAATAAAATAAAATATATATTTTATGAAAAAAAAAATAAAACATCACATAATAATAGAAAAAAATAAAGTTAATTTTGATGTATTTTTTTCCCATCAACATTCTCCTCCCATTAAAGGACTTCTCTATTTGCCTTACTTTGCTCTTGTATTTCCTGAAAAGGTTTCCATGGAGGCACTTTAACTGTACAGTTGTTCAATTAAAATTTCATTGTATTGTTAAGGACAGAAATAGAATAGTGAGGACTAGTCCTATATAATAAAAGAGAAACATGTAAATTAACTGTCACTCCACCATGCTCAAGCCACACCCACAAGCCATGCCAACCAGCCAATCAGGAGTGAGTATGCAAATTAACCCAACTAAGGTGGCAGTGGCCACGGAGCTGGAGCGAGCAGGAGGCTTGGGTTGCCCCTGGCGATGGAGGAAGTTAAGTTTCCCTCCTGCACTGACTGGCCCCTGGCTCGGCTCAAGGCTACAAAGTTTCAATTATAGAAGATAAATAAATCCCAGAAAAAAAAGAAAAAAGAAAAAAAGGAGAGGCTGGTAGCTTGGGTTGCTGGGGGGTGTGGCCAGCCTGAAAAGGGTCCTCAGCCCCTCACCCAGGCTGGCCAGGCACTCCAGTGGGACTCCCTAACCCTGAAGGGGGTGTGGCCAGCCTGCAAACAGCCATCAGCCCCTCACCCAGGCTGGCCACACCCTCAAGGGGAGAGGGTCCCTGCTGAGGGGCTTGACCAGCCTGCAAACAGCCCTCAGTCCCTCACCCAGGCTGGCCAGGCACCCTGAAGGTGCTGTGGCCAGCCTGCAAACAGCCCTTAGCCTCTCACCCAGGCTGGCCAGGCACCTCAGCAGGACCCTCAGCCTGATCTGGGACATTCTTCAGGGCAAACCAGCTGGCCCCACTCATGCACCAGGCCTCTATCCCCTGCCCCCACCCATGCACCAGGCCTCTATTCTATATGATAAAAGGGTAATATGCAAATTGACCCTAACAGCAGAACGACTGGGAATTATGGGTCACTATGACACACACTGACCACCATGGGGCAGATGCTCAATGCAGGAGCTAACCCCTGGTGGTCAGTGCATTCCTACAGGGTGAGCTCTGTTCAGCTACAAGCCAGGCTGACGGCTGCCAGCACAGCAGTGATGGCGGGAGCCTCCCGCCTCCTCAGCACCGCTAAGGATGTCCGACTGCAACTTAGGCCTGGTCCTTGCTGGCAAGTGGACATCCCCCGAGGGTTCCTGGGCTGCCAGAGGGATGTGTGACTGCCAGTTTAGGCCTGATCCCTTGGGAATGGGCCTAATCCAGCAGGTGGACATCCCCTGAGGGGTCCCAGACTGCGAGAGGGCACAGGCTGGGCTGAGGGACCCCCCGGGCTGAGGTCTCTAGTAGTTTAATAATAATGCATCCATCTGCCTATTTGCAAACAGCTTAATAATAAAGCATCCATCTGCCTGTTTGTTCCCAATCCATAAATATTTACTGAGTATGTCTTATGTGCCAGTATCAAGAGCCAGACACTTGACAAGGATTTGGGTATACAGTAGAAAAGAGATGTATTTTTTTGTCTTCAAGGCAAGACTAATGGGGAAGACTGACATTACACAAATAAAATGCTACTTCTAAATGTTTATAGTATATACCAGTTGATGCTAGAAATAGGATCATTATACTATGCTAAGTATATTTCCAGTTGAATATACTTTAGGATTTAAAAGAAGAAAGATATTCTCAAATATAAATATACTAGAGGCCCAGTGCACGAAATTCATGCACAGCGGAGGGCGGGGGAGGGGGCCTCAGCCCAGCCTGCACCCTCTCCAATCCGGGACCCTTGGGGGGATGTGCAACTGTCGGTTTAGGATCGGGCCTAAACTGGCAGTTGGACATCCCTCTCACAATCTAGGACCGCTGGCTCCTAACTGCTCACCTGCCTGCCAACCTGATCACCCCTAACCGCCTCTGCCTGCCAACCTGATTGCTCCTAACTGGCCCCCTGCAAACCTGGTTGCCCCCAACTGCCTCGCCCTTCCAATCTGGTTGCCTCCAACTGTCATCCCTCACTAACACCCCTGCTGGCCTGGCCGCCCCACGCAGCCTGCTGTTCACTCATATGGTCGTCCCTCACTAACCCTCTGCGGCCTGGTCGCCCCACCCAGCCTGCTGTTCAGTCATATGGTTCCCCCTCACTAACACCCCCTGTCGGCCTGGTTGCCCCATGCAGCCTGCTGTTCAGTCCTTTCATTGTCCCTCACTAACCCCCCCTGCCAGCCTGGTCGCCCCACGCAGCCTGCTGTTCAGTCATATGGTGATCCCTCACTAACCCCCCAGCCGGACTGGCCGCCCCACACCGCCTGCTGTTCAGTCATATGGTCATCCCTCACTAACACCCCTGCTGGCCTGGTCACCCAACGCAGCCTGCTGTTCGGTCATTTGGTAAACCCTCACTGTCCCTGCTGCCAGCCTGGTCGCCCCATGCATCGAGCTGCTCAGTTGTTTGGACATCCCTCACTAACCCCCCTACCAGCCTAGTTGCTTCACACAGCCTGCTGCTCAGTCGTTTGGTTGTCCCTCACTAACCCCCCTGCAGGCCTTGTCACCCCACTCAGCCTGTTTGGTCATCCATTCAGTTGTTTCGATGTGACGGCTCCTGGCTATATATGCAGATGTTTCTTTAAAAAGGAAGTACTATGCCTATACTACAAAGTCCAACACAGCATTTAATTTTGAATTTTAAATTATTTAAAATTAAAAGATTTTA